CCAAGCAGAAAGTGCCACATGTTCTGCAAGTGCTGCCCTGTGGGGATAAATCCATGCTGGACATTGGAGGAGAGCGTGGCTGTGCCTTCTGCAGGGGCCTGGGTCATTGGATCACTGACTGCCCCAAACTCAAGGCTATGCAAACCAAGCAGGTCAGCAACATTGGCCACAAGGACTACCTGGCCCACAGCCCCATGGACTTCTGACCCAACTGTCTTCCTGCTCCACCTAGAGGCCTCAGGCTCCAGGAGTCCAGTCACCTACACACACACACCAGCTCCCTGGGCAAGAAGCCAGCACCCTTTGGGCCCAGCTGGCCTGGACTGGGCCAGGCTGGGCCTGGCTGCCGTTCCCCATGCCCCTCAGAATTACTATTTTTGTTCCCCTTCTCCCCAGCTGCCATTAAAGCTCCTCTATCTCAAAAAAAAAAAAAATCTAAAATAGTAGTTTATTTTCTGCTGCTTCTATGTTAGAATGTTTCAGTAGGTGTTAGAATCTGCATTTGCATTTGCTGCACCAACAATTTAAAATTACTTTCCCGCACATCTTTGCTAGCAAACAAATGCTGTGTGGTAATGAAATAATTCTGAATGCTAATGTCTCTTGTATTAACTTTTGCTACTTTTCTACTTTTAAGTAGAAGTTGTTTGTCATTTTCTCTTCACCTGAGAAATATGCTGATGGCCTGCCTCACCTTGGAAGAACATGCCTGTGTAGAAGAAGAGGGGTTTGTATCTTTCTCTGTTATCTCATCAAAAACAGCCAAGCATCTACCTGTATAGTTTCTGACGATGTAACAGAACAAAGATTGTGAACTTCTATCTCCTGACTTAGACTGAGCTTCCTGGAAGCAGACTCTAAGACAAAAGCTATGTGCATGCATTTTACTGGGAGTTGCTCTCAAATGATACTTAGAAAGAAGGAAGAAGGCAAGCCCGGACAAAGGGCGAAGCTGACCTGACCTGGCTAAAAAGATTTTAGCCAATTCTATGGGAAACTCTGGAGCTGAGATCGACTTCCTTGTTGCTCCAAATTAAGAAAATGTGTCCTACCTTTGTGTCTTTCCATCCACCAGTCATTAGTAGCAAGCCACCCCTTGAAGGAGGGTGTAACCCTGGTCAAGCAGTCTTTGTTGCTGAGAGCAATTTCCTGGAAGGTACAGCACTTTGATCAGCAACTGATATTCCAACTGAAAACAGGTGTGTCATCCCTGAAGTAGAAATCTGGTATTCACTATAGATCCTCAGAAAAGTTAAACCCTATGCCACAGACCCATTAGCTCTTATCTACTGAGTTAACCTGTCAGATGAGATGTGGTTAACATGGTGGAGGGAATGAAGTCAACCAGCTGATTTCAGGGCTCAGAGCACCACTGCATCTAGCTGAATTATGTAATTCAATGATTAGAGAGAAACACGAAGAAAGTCAAAGTGAAACTCTAATGTTCTTTCTGAGTACAAGGTGCTAGAGAACAACATCCATTTCACTTTAGATACTTGGAAGCTAACTTTGTTAAATAAACCAGGCAAACATTCAATCAATGCTAATCCAGAAAGCGGAGGCCTCACCTGAGTGGCATAGTGTGGCGTCAGTGCAGCTCTCCTGTGCTTCAGCCTTGGTGCTGAGTTAAAGTGGGAAAATTCCAAGGTTTTTCCATCATGCTATCTCATTGCTTCAGATACTGGACAATAGTTTCATCCACCCTTCTCCGTTTTGACTCTCACCCCTCTATTTATGGTATCTGCCCCCTCTAACTTCTGATTCCCTCCCTCTAATCTCTCCCAGACCCCTTCCGTAGCTCACTTTTGCAATTTCCTCCCAGAGCACCTTGACTCCCTCCCTCCCTTATCCTCAGTCTGCCAAAGGCTGTTCTTAGACTTTTCAGTTTCCAGGAAAACTGTATCTCCTATTAAAGGGGAGACATTAGGCTGAGGACAAAGCCATCCTTCCCAGATAGGCAGGGCCAAAATCTGCAATTATTGCAACACAAAAACTTGGCTGGAGAGGAAGAATTAACCAATTTGTTAATTCTCATACCTTATCTTTCTTGAATTTTCAGCAGCATTTCATGCAACTGATCACTTCTTTTGCTTGTGGCATTTTATTTAGGAGGAACTTTCCAGAAAGTGTTTCTAAAAAGTCCAGTTAGAGACCCAGAATTGTAGGAAGTCATGTGCTTGGAATCTAGTCTCCGGGTTCTTCTTCCACCTTCCAGGCAGCAACGTTCCCATTTCTGGGATCCCCTCCTCTTCTCCTACAGGTTGAAGGATGTCAGCTTTCTGCTTATCCTTCATCACAGGCAGAATAGTCAGAGCTGAATTTATCCAAGGTGAGAATGTTGCTGCTTGTTTATATGATAGAAGAGAGGGAGGGGCAAGGGAATCGAAAATGATTTTAAGGCTGGGGTAATACATTCAAACAGTGAAGTCTTAGTCACTTAAGGAATGAATTTGAGATATGTGGGGAGTTATGGCCAAAGGAAAATGTAAGGAAGCCAATAGGCTGGGGCTTCAGAGGGTTCAAGTAGAGTGAGTGAAAGACTGAGGGTGGTTAGAAGAATAAGATGCTCCAGTAGAGATATTTGAAGGTACTAAAAGGTCATGATATGGCTGTATAACAGTATGAGGCTTGCGAGCCGAGGGTTTTCATGTCCATGAGTGTACATGAGAGTAGTGAAGAGAAAGATAGTGAGACTCGGGGCTTAATCCTAAATGAATGAGAAGGATGTACTGCAGGATCATAGTGAAAAACTACTATAAGTGAGAGTCATATTCAATATGCTCTTTATTTCAAATGAATTATGTTTCAATTTTTTACATATCTATTTACTTTACTGTAGGAAAGAGGAAAAGTATTCTTGGAAACAGCAGCACGGTCTAAGTAGAGTATCAATGTCATCCTCAGAACCTTGGAAATTGTGTCACAAGAGAGAAATACAGCCATTTCTCAAAGGAACCGCCCACCAAATAGTGCTCTTAAAAAATTGTCACATTGTCATTAAAGCAATGTGCTAAAGGGGATATTCAGAAAAATGCTTAAAGATACAATGAAATGACCATCTGCAAGTTGCAGAGGACTGTGAGCGGGTTGGAGGTATATGAAAAGCTGGGTCCAGTGATGCTACGTCAGTGAGAAATTCAGCTGATGTATGTCTAGAACTACCTTCCCGAAGGGTCTGAGTTCTCAGTAATCTTGGCTATTTTCAGTTGTTGCAATTTTCCATTAATCTAGTCCCCAAATGAACCCCGGATAATCCATGTTTTTTAATATGCAATGCTTCTTGCCCCACTGCTTTTTTTAAAGTTTATTTTTATTTTCATTTTTTATTCAGTGTCTGTAGAGACCATCAGAAATTGCCATTGCCAGCTATATTGAAAGTCATCATAGCAGGATATTGGGGAAAGTTTTCAATTAGCAATGATCGCATCTTGGATAAACCTCATTAGCAATGATACTGACACTGTGCAAAGGTTCTTGCCCATTATTTAGAAGCAACTTAGTTTTGTCTTAGTTATTGGGGTCAAATACTTCAACCAGTGGGGTAACCCTTTTCTCTTGTCTGTTGACTCAGCCGCTTGAGAAGCCCAACTAGCTAGGATATGATTTCATCTTCAAATTCAATGAAGTTGGAGACTTATTCCTTTCAGGATGATGTAATATGGACCAAATTTACCCTTACACCTAGTCAAAAAGAAAGATAGACAAAATATGTGAAATACAGTTTTCAATGTGCACAATATTAGATGATGAATTGGATCCCAAGAGATGGAAATAAATGAAATGAGCCCTGTGATTATCTCAGATTACCACCTGCAACTTTTAGGATAGTGCTTGCTGGGGGAGGGGGTGGGCAGGAGCTGCGTCTCTCACTGATTGAGAAGCCACAAAAACTATTTAGAACATTCAAGACCGCTAGATCTGTGGGGTAGAGAGTGGGAACAACACAGCTGCTTATGCAAGTAGCTCCAGAGATCTATAAAATGTTGCCCTGGAGTTTTCAGCTATAAGAAAACTACAAAGGCTGAGAGAAAACATCTGAAATGATTCAAGGGAGTAATCCTTAGGACTTCCCAAGGAACAGACGTGTTCACACCATCCTCAGTGAAAAACCTCATAATTCAAAAGGCATGGGGTAATATAACAAGCTTTACCTAAGTAGTGGGGGAAAAAGTCTCTAAAATAAATTCTGCTCTGATCCCACCTAACAAAGTTTAAAAGCAAGATCAGAAGAGATTGAATCTATTCCAAGTATTTTAATGACATCCCACTGCTCAGCTTAAAAGTGCAGTTAAGAGATTATAGACATATTCAGCACCCAATTTGGTCAACTGCATAATGTTTGGTATCCAATTAAAAAATTACCACGCATTGTAAATAAACAGGAAAATGTGACCCAAAAAGATATAAACACTAACTCAGAAATAATACATATGTTATAATTGGTAGATAAGGACACAAAACATGGATTATAATTATGTTCCATATGTTCCAAAATATAGAGGGAATTGAGTATGCTGAATGAAAGCGTAGAAAATGTACTTTCTTATTTTAAAAAAAGTGCATTTTTCCTAAAAATAACCTCTAGAAATAAAAACCACAATGTGTTAGATGAAAATATATACCAGATAAGATTAATAGTGGATAAGATACTGCCCACCCTAAAGATTAGTTTAACTTGAAGATAAAGAAACTATACAAAGCAAAACACTGATGCATAAGGGAGTAACCAAAAAATTAGCCACAAACACAGACAAGTGAGACAACGTGAAGCAGCCTGTTAAACCTATAACTTTTTATGTCCAAAAAAGAGGAAAGTTTTAAAAAATTAAAAGAATAATAGCTGAACATTTTTCAAATTTGGTGGAAACTATACACCTATAAGTTAAATGAGTTCAATGAAGAATGAGAAACCTGGAGAAAACTACAGCAACAAATGTTAAAATCAACAATACCAGAAAAAGACTACAAGCTTCCAGAGGAAAAAATAAACAGTACGTGCAGAAAGACAAGAATAGCAACAGACGTATTGACAGGAATACTGAGAGTTAGAGAGCAGTGGGGCATCATCTTTATAGAAATGGAAATAAAAAAAAAGAACTGTCACCCTAGAATGCAAAACTATTTTTTAAAAACTAAGGCAACTAAGGCAAAATAAATGCTTTTTGAAACAACTAAAAACTAAAGGAATGTATTGCCATCCCACCTAAAGTATAAGAAATGTCCAAGGAAGTGCATTAGGAATGAGAAAACGTTACTAGATACCAAGGTGAATCTACGTAAAGGAAGGAGGTGTACTAGATATTGTATTATCTAATTTCTTTGAAAGAAAATTGAATTTTAAAAGCAAATAAAACGTATCATGCAACATATAACATACATATTATTAAAATATATGATAAGAGCCCATTATATCAGAAAAGAAAAATAGGAGCCTGTAAAGTTTTTCTACTGTATATAAAGGGGGATTGCATGGCTTGAAAGGGGACTGTAGTAAGTGTAAGACGTGCATTACAGGCCCTAAAGCAACCAGTGAGTAATATAACTGAGAGTCGTATTTGTAAGCTAACAGAAGAGTGAAATTGAATAAGAAATACCATCCAATTAATTCAAAAGAGGGCACAGAAAGAATGTAAACAGGATCTAAGTACAAATGGAATTAGTAGAAAATTATTACAGAGAATCGTTATTTTGTTACCTGATGGAAATATTTTTCCTTAGAGATTAAGATTTCCAAACAAATAGAATTCAAAATTTCAGCCATATGTATGAAGCATGACTTTTGCCCAGAAGTTGTGAAGTGTAACAGTAAGAGCAGCCATTTCTGTTTCCATTCCTCAATGATTCCGAAACTCGCATTTTTTGATTATTTGGGAGACAGCATCATATAATGGTCTCTCATTCAGAATATAGGCTGACTCCTTAAGGTAGAGCCACATATTGTAAGGGTGTTGCACTCTGGTAACTAAATTTCAGACTTCCACCTTTCCATCAGGCCATCTGCTTCTGCATGATGGAGTAACTTGGACACTGATAGAATCTCTGGAAAGCTGCATTTAGAGATTTTGCTGAATTCGCTTGGGTACAGCATGACTTACTTAGAAGTCACCTGTGTAGGTACTGCTAGGTAAACCCCGCAGGAGCATGAAAAGAGCACTAGAACCACCACTTCCTCCTGCAGTGCCCTTTACCGACAAAGCTTAGCATCCCACCAGCTGACCAGGGAGGAATACTTACAAGGCCCAACTCCAGTCTCATAGGACATGATAATGAAGGGAATATTTAGAGGTCACAGAAAATAAACTGATTATTGATTTGTGGGCTTATTCTTATTTCTACCTCTTGATTCACATACCATGTAGTCTATAAACTGGAACATACTACCAAAAGAGGATTGTTAATTTAGGGCACATATTGTATTTGAGAGATAGTAACCTGTATTTACAAAGGATAATCTCTAAGGGGCACATCAGCTAGCTATCTAAAGGTCCTGCCATTGACCTTTTCAAGGTGGCAGGTTCTGGTGACTGCAGATCATGATGTAATTAACAAACTCCATGGTCCTATACTAACAGTCATCTCTCCTTTGCTAAAGAAGATAGTCCCTGTGAATCCTCAGACAGTGGTGCTGATTCAGCCTTTGAATGCATAAAAATCAGCCCCATATCTAGCAGATGTTCTTTCTACTTAAGATGGAGGTAAGTAGCTGCCCCTTTCAGGATGGAAGGTGCCACTAAGTGATTTGTTTTTCTCTTTGAGGGATAAAAGCTCAGAGTAGTCTTTGTTGGGGAATATTGAAGGTTCAGCAGTGAAAGAAGCTAAATCAGTGTTGGTTAAAAGGAGTTCAAGATACTGGGTCATGATAGCCTTTATCCCTGCCCCATGCCTGCTCTCTTGGTATACTCATGGTATCAGCTAATCAGTTGATCCTGTCCACTTTGTTCCTTTGTTCATCTTCCATTGTTAATATTATTTGAAAATATGCAACACAAACATCTTCCAAAGCTCTACCTACTTCCCTAGGGACATTCACTTTCCTCAAAATCTCTTTCATTGTCTGCCACTGTCAGTGAGAATACGTAGAGTCTCACCTTGGTCACTGATCTTCCCACACAGGTTGTATTGCATCTGTATTGCATTTGAAGGTGCATCCTTCGAAGTTCTGAACAGTTTGGAGGGTTTCCTCTCGTTCCTAGTTGAGGCTGTCATTCAACAGCCATCCAGTTTTGGCTTTCCCTCACATACCAAGCAGACCTCTTCATTAACAAAGCTTCCTTTTTTTTTTTTTTTTACTACAAACATATACAATTTTTACTTGTCAATTAAGTTTGGTTTTGTTTTTGATTTTATTAAATCATCACTGTGTACATTAATGCAGTCATGAGGTACAACGTGCTGGTTTTACATACAATTTGAAATATTTTCATCAAACTGGTTAGCATAGCCTTCATGGCATTTTCTTAGTTATTGTGTTAGGACATTTATATTCTACATTTAGTAAGTTTCACATGTACCCTTGTAAGATGCACCGTAGGTGTGGTCCCACAAGGCTTCGTCTTTTCTCTTACACTGTAAGTGGTCACATAGACCCTCACTTGCAGTCACAGTTCTGAGCTGAGGGAGTGGCACTGGTAATAAATGGAGGTATATGGCTTATGCAGTTTTTTGGACCCTCTGGCCTTCCCCTGCCTGATCCTGATGGTGCCACTTTAGCCTTATGATAGACAGCTGCTGGGCCCACCCAACCAAATGACCTGGTGGATTTGATAAGACCCAGCTCCCACTAGACAGATCTGGAGACATGGTCATTTGACCTCAAGTGTTGTTATTCTATGAAGGTACCACACATTTTAAATATAACTGCACAAAAATACTGTGACCAATATTGTAAATAATATCCATTATTTCTAGAAAGATACAGACAGCCATAGGCAACATTCACAGTAATAGCCAAAGTCCAGGAAGTCCAGGTGAGCAATGAAAAAGTTTAGAACAAAGGTTAGTAGCAGTGAGGATGGAAAAAAATAATTAGAACAAGTCTGAATGTATCAACATAATACATTGTATCATGTGTATCAGTGTATCAAGTGATACTGAAACATGAATTTCTCATGCTACTCAATGCTTCTAATAAGTCACAAATAGATAAGTAAAAAACATTATGACTAATAGGGTAGTACATAAAAATGGCTTACGTCAGGGATGTAATTGAGACAAGATCAACCTCAAAAGTCCCCTTTTCAAACTCTGAGTACCTGGAAACCCTGGCTAAGGAACTTAAAGGGTACATAAATTTCTGTGTAAATTTAGCACATAATTAGTTACTATTTGCTCAAGATTTTGGCCGAATGACACTACTCTCCTCTGTTTTCCACGTCGACTGAATAAAGATGAGAATAACAATCAATGTTCCTGCTTTGTTAATTACCCTTCTTTCAGGGGTACCCTTTGTGCAAAGTACTTGGCTTTATTCAA